GCAGGGTATAAGATCAACATACAAAAATCAATTGGATTTCTCTATAGCAACAGCAATAACAATGAAAAGGACATTAGGAAAGCAATATCATTTACAATAGCCATGCAATGGATGAAATACTTAGGACTAAAAATAACCGGAGAAACAAAGGACTTATACAAAGAAATTACAAAGCACTACTACAAGAAACCAGAAGAGACCTACAGAAGTGTAAGAACATAGCATGTTCCTGGATAGGAAGACTCAACAACGTGAAAATGTCAATACTACCCACAGCAATTTACACATACAATGCAATCCTAATCCAGATTCCAACAACATTCTTCAAAGAGATGGAAAGGACAACTAGTAACTTTATATGGAAAGAAAAGAGACCCAGGATAAGCAAAGAACTACTTAAAAGGAAGAACAAGGTTGGAGGTCTCTCACTCCCAGATTTCAAACTTTACTACATGGCTACGGTGGTCAAAACAGCCTGGTACTGGTACAATGAAAGAGACATTGATCAATGGAACAGAATCTAGAATCCAAATATTAACCCAACCACTTACACCCAAGACCTTTGCCTCATGCCCTATAAAAAAATGATTAAAGATGGATTAAAGATCTAAATGTGAATGCCCAAATTATGAAGATCATCAATGAAAAAATAGGAACAAATGTGAGGGTGCTAATTCAGGGTATATACAGACTGCCACACATTTCGAAAAGTACACAAACAAAAATAGACAAAATAGATGAGTGGGACATACTAAAAATTAAAAACTTGTGCACTTTAAAAGACTTCACCAGAAGAGTAAAAAGGGAACCCACAGAATGGGAAAAAATCTTTTGCAACGACATATCGGATAAGGGACTCATTTCTAAATATATAGTATAATACTACACATCTACAAAAATAAGACAAATAACCCCATAAAGAAATGGGCACAGGATATGAACAGACACTTCACCAGGGAGGAGATCCAGGCAGCCAACAAACATATGAAGAAATCTTCATGATCACTAGCCATTAGAGAGATGCAAATCAAAACAACAATGAGATATCATCTCACACCAGCAATAACAGTAAAGATCAAAAAAATTGCTGGCAGGGATATGGAGAGACTAGGAGGCTCGTGCATTGCTGGTGGGATTGCAAAACGGTCCAACCTCTCTGGAAAGCAATATGGCGCTTCCTCAAAAGGTTGAAAATAGAAATACCATACGATCCTCAATTCCTCTACTTGGTATTTACCCACAAGAAAAATGAGCCACAACACGGGAAGATATATGCACACCAGTGTTCATAGCTGCACTATTTACAATAGCAAAAAGATGGAGACAGCCAAAGTGCCCATCAACTGAAGAATGGATAAACAAGCTGTGGTACATACACACAATGGAGTATTATGCTACCTTGAAAAATAACAAGGAAGCTACATGCCACTACCTAACATGGGTGAACATAAAGGACATTATGTTAAGTGAAATCAGTCAGTCACAAAAGAAGAAATACTGCATAGGACCACTAATGTAAAAGAATAAGAAAAAGAACCCATAGTAATCCACTAAAGTGGATTCTTAGCTGGTTGCTGGGACGTAGGGGTAGAGTTAGGGGTGGGAGGGGAAGGTGGAGCACAGGGCAGGGAATAGACATAGGATAGTTTGGGTGTTAAGGAGGGGGGCAATATACAAGAAGGGAGAGGGGAATGGAAGAACAAAGCAGATGGGAGAACAATTAGGCAGGTTTGCATGGGATAAATGGGACAGAGGTAAAAAATGATGTAGGCACAACCTTAGAACAACAGGGCTCTGGGATACAGAGATTGAGACATGGTTGCAATGGGAAAAGGGGGGGGAATAATGTTAAGATGCTTGGCTGTCTTTTGAATCTTGGTTTTATGTGCATTCTATTACAAAACAGACACTGGAGGGGGAGAGAAAGGAATAGCCAGAATTATTACCATAGAAACCTTGTAAGTCCGTCTTCTGCCTATAACTGATTGGAATACCTAAAATGGGGCTACAATGTGTCCAGTGAAGGAGGTTTCCTGAGGAGCCTCTGCATTGCATAAGATTATAGGTGGAAGCCTGAACCACATCCAGATCTTCAGAGATGGGAAATTTTCCACTTGAAAGGACGAGCAGACCAGCCTGGAGCAACTAGAAAAACAGAAGATACTTCTTGGGAGAAAGACCTGCAGGAAAAATACAAAGCAATAAAGGCAGTCCAACTGTTTCTACAAAAACAAGCAAGTTGCTTTCCCAGGAGACATCAAGGCAAGTGGTCGGGTCCTCTCAGTGCAAATCCTCTGCCAAGACTAAGACGCAAAGGGAATACACGCTCTGATTGGCGACCACGCATGTAACCCATGGGGGAAGTGAGGGAAAGACAGCAATGAGGTGGCTAGCTAAGCCCTACATCATTCAATGGACTCCTGTGAACATGAGTGGAGACCTGGTAGGCCAGCAGTGTGGCAAGACCTGGGGACTCATGGGCTCAGAGTCAATGACACAGTCACAGAGGACTGGAGTGGAGAGTGAAGAGTCCAGCTGATAAGAAGAGAGCGGACAGATGCAAGAGCACGCACACTTGCAGATAATACCCACTTGACCTGGCTTCAATGACTGGATCATCAGAGCTCAACCCAAAGAAGAAAGAAGAGGAAAAAAGTGTCATCTGATAATAATTTGATAAACTTGACCTATACCTATGGATGCAGTAGCTCAAAAGAGGAAACAAATCCTTGCTGCAAGAACTATTCCCACCCCTTCCACACAAAGAGTAGACAGGGATGGGCAACTT